TGAAATATTTGGAGAAATATGCTTTATACTGCATAGTTAACTCACTGACCCCTCACGCCACGATAATGCGTCAGTTAAAAACTTCTAGTCGATATGATATCGACTTTACACCTGTCCTGCATGCCACATACGTGCGGCTAGATACTTCCCGGTCTCCACGTTGTAGCGTCGTAAATCATTGGTTGTTTTCAAGGTATTCCCCGAGAAAATTTAAATATTAGCTAATCAGAAATCGGGTTACATTTTGAATAGAAAAAACGTAATTTGAGACCGATGCGGAGGATAATCCATTGGATTCTGATAATGAAATGTTTTAATTTGACAGCAGAAAGTAGTTTAAAAAAATGAAAGTAGGGATTTCGACTGAAGGGGATTATGTCCGTACACCAAAATGAAAGTGTTTGTGGGAGTTTACCAGAAGAATAAGCATTTTTAGCTCGACTATTCGATAAGAATAAGTAGAGCTATTGCAGTCACCCGAGCATCGGCGTCGGCGTAACCACTTATGTTAAAGTTTTTGTAATAGTTCAAATACAGGGTTCCCACGCTGTCCGGGAAAACGGGAAATGTCCGTGAATTTGAAAACACTAGCTCCCGGCCTTGAAAAGTCCGGGAATTAGTGTTGATACAGAAAAAAGTCCGGGAAGGTACGGGAATTAGTCTGGAAAAGGGGAGATAAATCAAACAACCAAAATGGCGGTCTTAGCACAGTATATTGATTTCCGCATCTTAAATGTTGATGATTTTTCGATTTACAAGGGTTTTAAGAGGCCAATTTAGACATTTATGAGATTTAACATTTATTTTCTGGTTACTATTGCGGTTTTGTTTGGAAAATCTTATAAGACAGTCACAAATCGACCCCAAGTTTGCTTGATTGGCCTGTGCTCAAAGCACATGAAAAAGATGAAAGCTCACAGGTATGGTTGTTTCCTTGGGCAATGTTTTTTATCCTAATTGCTCACAACCATGCTAAAAGCCAAAGGTATATCAATATAAAATTAACAATAGTATTACATACAGGGCGTCCATTAATGGAAGTTTGGGAGTCATTTACTCCCTGATTTTGGTTTGTGACTTCTTTAAGTTCTACTTTTCCTTCTTTACCTATATAATGTGATTTCCAATATCAGAGATTTTGCAGTGTCTGACTTCCAAATTTTGGAACTTAGTGGAAGCCCTGATTACATACATGAACTATTGTAAAGGCAGAGCACAGCCAATTGGCCACACGGGTAGCACGAAATACTTAAGTATAGCCAATATATACTAAAAATAATGTGTTGTACTAATAAAATTGTGTTTTAATCATGAATACAATATACAATTTCACTAAGATGTAATCAAACATACCCAAATATACATTTTTGAACACCGCTAAAACATTAAAAACAGCAAAATTACATGAAAATGGCACACAACCTGCAAAAACAGTTTCTGTCACAAAGTACATTTCATTATTTATAGACACTGAATGTATTTCTTAGATAGAGTTAGATTTATGTCATGAACTATATGTATTTTATTGGTGTTGCTAAACATTACCATGAACATATTCAAAGGACAAAAAAATCAAATAGCTTGAAATTTTATCTTCTAAAAAGTCCTTAAAAAATCAAAAAAGGTCCTTGATAAGTCCTGGAAAAGTAATCAAAAAAGGTCCTTGATAAGTCCTGGAAAAGTCCTTAAATTTTCAAAATATCTAAGAGTGGGAACCCTGTCAAATATTTTCAAAGTCCATAGACATATGGCTTTGAAACTTTGCACACTTGTTCACCATCATGACCCCAACCTGTAGACAGGAGGAGGTAACTCTATCAAGCATTTTGACAGAATTATGCCCCTTTTTCGACTTAGAATTTATGTTAAAGTTTTTGTAATAGTTCAAATATTTTCAAAGTCCATTGACATATGGCTTTGAAACTTTGCACACTTGTTCAACATCATGACCCCAACCTGTAAACAGGAGGAGGTAACTCTATCAAGCATTTTGACAGAATTATGCCCCTTTTTCGACTTAGAATTTATGTTTAAGTTTTTGTAATAGTTCAAATATTTTCAAAGTCCATTGACATATGGCTTTGAAACTTTGCACACTTGTTCACCATCATGACCCCAACCTGTAAACAGGAGGAGGTAACTGTATCAAGCATTTTTTTTACTATCAAGCACTAAGAATAGTCGAGCGTTGCTGTCCTACTGACAGCTCTTGTTTAATTCAATAAACACTCGCTCGTCAGCCGCCGAATCTCCCGCCATTATTGTAAATATAAACAATACATGTACACTCGAGAACCAGTATTTCATTGGTCAAACATATTAGCACTTAAACTCCCGCGTGATGCGTGTCTACAAATGTTTCCGATAAATTACGAAAGGCTGGTGAAATGGGCTATACAAACAGTTGTTTGCAATATAACTAGCCAAGCGTCTCTGGTTTTATATAAAATCAACTGTTAATATATGGCCATATAACCTGTCCAATATTTTATAGGTACAATGGAGGGTATACCAGATGTTAAAGGGATGGCATGATGTGGTGGTCGATTGTGGAGAGAATCCTAAGAAGCTACTTGCTGCAGCATTTGTGAATGCCAATACTAACTACTTTGCTTTCAGCTTATTGCCTAAACAGCAGTTTGATCGTATTACATCATTATTGATTTTTTACTCTCTTTTTAGCTCACCTGTCTCAAAGTGACACCAGGGTGAGCATTTTGTGATCGTTTTTCGTCCGGCGTCCGTCCGTAAACTTTTACTTTAAATGACATCTCCTCATAAACCACTAAGCCAATTTCATCCAAACTTCACAGGAATGTTCCTTTGGTGGTCACCTTTAAAAATTGTTCAAAGAATTTAATTCCATGCAGAACTCTGGTTGCCATGGCAACCGAAAGAAAAAACTTTAAATATCTTCTTTTAAAAAACCATAAGAGCTAGAGCTTAGATATTTGGCATGAAACATCTTCTAGTGAGTGTCTACCAAGTTTGTTCAAATAAAAGCCCTGGGGTCAAAATTGGCACCGCCCCGGGGGGTCATTGATTTTCCCTATATGTGTAACCTGTGTATCGTTTTCTGTTTATCACTGGTATATTGTATCCTCCGTGTTATGTTGTATTTGGTTGGTATTTGCCTAACTGTTGTGTCGTCGTTTGTTTGCCTAACTGTGGTAATGTTATTGTATAGTCTGTTTCGTAAGAGAGGTCACTGTAAGTTGAAAGGTTGTATGAATGTGTTCACTAATATTTCACGTGCATGACCCTAAAATCCCCGCGAAACATTTTCTTGCTTAAGTAAAATATTTCCCTTCGCCAGTTCCACATTATACGAGTAACTGATAACTTACTTTACAGTATAGTTGTTGATAAAAGTAGTTACTTATTATAGTAAACTTGAACATCATTTATGGAAAGTTCTTGTATGCTGATCCTGGTAAGAATTTATATATTTCTAATGTCATATTTATTCTTTTCCATTGATGAATTGGATGAAATGTGTAATTTTATTATTTTGTAAATCAATTATTTGTAATTCCTTTGTATTTTGTTTGTAGGCTCGTTTTTGTATGTCCGACAATAAAATGATGAAATAGAAGCAAGTCTTCAATCATTTATCCCCGGTTACAAATGGCTCCCCGACGGGGAATTGAACCCTGGTCTCCCGCGTGACAGGCGGGGATACTCACCACTATACGAGCTAGGGTCGATGGACAGTCTTTCACAACCGCTCCAGGTACGCCCCAGCCGAGAAAACTTAACAGCTTTTCAAGTTGGAGATAGACGGATGTTGTGAACTTGTGACGTTGGCACGTACCGGTACAACTCTACGCATCATAATGGTATATTCCCCCTGTCCCCTTTTAAAGAGCTCTTTACCCATTATAATGATTACATTCCATTTTATAAAGCCCAAAAGTCTATAAACTGTAGAAAACTTACGTTTTCTAGCCCTATGTAATCAAGAAAGGATCGCCGTGGAACTATTTTCATCGCGGAGGACGACATATTCGACTATGCACGTGCAGGAACTTTAGTGTGTGTGTGTGAACTTTATTTTGTGTATTTGTACATGTATGTGTTTTATAGTGAAAAGTGTGTATATTTTATTGGATTAAGGATGTAATGTAAGTACTCTTTCTATATAATTATTTTGGTCACTTCGGTAGTTAAATTATTAGAATCTACTTGTATACTGTACAGTTTATTTACATCAAAGTTAGGCTATCTTCAGTTAGGCATTATTCGTTTCAGTACACTACATGTAAATTTTTGATATAAGAAGATTTTTCTTTCCTACGAATATTTTTGTTTGCTTGTTTTCTTGACATCTATATTAAATTTTTGCTATTTCTTTTTTATCATTTGATAAACTTACATATATCATTTAACAGTAAAGTTTTATTGTTTTAAATTGACAAACAGAAAGTTAGGTTCGTTTACAATATCTAGTACACATTATATTTTTGAGTGAATATGTTGCGTAAGTAAGAAGTATTTTTTTATACAGTTGTAACAAATATTGTCTGTACATATAGATGTTTGTGTTGAATTTTGTGTTTGTGTACATATCATGGTTTAGAAACCGTTTAGCATAGAATTTAAGCAAAGTTGATTTGTTCTGGTGTTCACAGTAACCAATGATTTGTATTAGATGTACTTAGTCCGTGTCCAATTTTTCCCAAACTCTCTCCCAAACCACTTCCATACTAATACAATAAATGCACTCACGGTATGAATGAAAAGATTGAAATGGTAACAGAGAAAAATATCGTGTTTGGTTTTATTTTTTGTCGGATTCGGTTTATTTGATGGTGTTTTTGATTGACCGTTTGTGTAAAACGGACTATAGATACAGGTATTGAATAGATCAATTGACCTAGTTTGTAGGAAAAAGAAATGACGTATGTTACAAATATTTTCCCACGCTACAGGGATAAAAACTAACCATTTAAGCTTGGTGGCCACCTGGGCCACTGACTGTAAAATTTTGGTGGCCCAGTAAATATATCAGTGGACCAACAAATTATGAACAGAAAAAGGGCTAGCACTGGCATATTTTTTTAGCCAATTTTTTGGCAACGAAAATTGCGTGCATGTATTTTTTTTTTTCAAATAAGGCAAAATGGTACAGCATGAGGTATTTAGAAAAACATAAACTATAATGTCCACTTTTATTTTGGTACCAACATTTTTTATCACATTAACACATCAAACTTATAAAATTTACAGTCAATAATCATAAAAGCTTCCAGCTCAGTAGCTATGACATTTGCCTGGTTAAGTCAGTGGCATGACAGTAACAGCAGAAACACATTCCAATTTGCTGCTTCAGCTTGCTTGGTTAATGACAAAGATTTGGCTTGAAGACTATCTGTATCTGAAATAATACAGAAGAAACAAGTTTGAAAGTAAGAAGAGTGAAGAAAATGATATTGAAAATTCTAAACTAAAGAAAATTCAGGAATTAAATTACATGTACTTCTGTACAGGAATCAGTATAAGTTATCTGAAGGCATTTTCTGTTTGTATGTTACTTAACTGAATCTTTCTTTAATATTTCACAGTCATAAGCCATTTATAAATGAACACTTTTGCAAGAGCTTTAGGGGTTACAAAACTTAAATTTGATTTTAAGCCAAATCAAGGTCAATCTTTTTTTCCAAGGAATTCTCTGTAAAGCCAAATGTCAAATAAATTTCTTGTAAAGGCATAATTAGGTTAGAATAAAATGGCAATCAGCCCCCATCCCCCGAAGAAAAAAAAAATGCAAAAAAAAAACATAAAAAAACAACCATTACTCTTAACCAATATTTTCTTTTGATCTGTTATCAACAACGATAAGATTTACTGAATGCAAACTTACCGTCAACAGGTCAAGTTGTCAACTGCAGAACATAATTTGTCGCTATTTCATACCCAAACTTCTGATTTGATTAGCGATAATCTTGAGTAATCTTGGGATGCCGCTACTTATTGTTTCATATTAAATATTTAGACCCGATTTTCCAATGCATATTCAACAAACTGCCAGGTATGTTCACTACAATTAGTGTCATATTTATCAGCTGATGTAAACAAACGGCGAGGGTCAGTGTATTAGACTGTGTTACTTTTCATATCGATATTTAATACAGAAGGGGAGGTAAAAATATAAACCAGTCAATGACCCACAAGAAGTAGACTGTGTCGCTGTGTTTTGAGATAAGAAGCGGTAAAGCGGAAATTGAAAATGGAAAACCAAATGTGTACTTTTCCATTCTTAAATTAGCAAATGCTAAATTTAGACTGGAGATTCCAAAAGTAATACTTTTCGGAAGTTTGAGCCAATCGTGATTTTCTTGAGCAAATTTAATAATTTTGGAGCCAATTTGCTCCTTTGAATTTTCACATGAGTTGATTTAATGGCGGATATTAATTTAATCTATCAGCCGATTTTTTTAGTCGCCGACTGGACGACTATTTGAAATTTTTGGTGGCCCAACTACAAATTAAGTCGCCGTGGGCGACCGCTAATTTTCAGCCCTGCGCTATGTTGATCTAGTTCTAAGACAATTCTTTATTTTGATATGACAATATTTGGAGTATGATTGATATAAAAGTTGGAAATTAAGGTTTAATAATAAAAAAGGGTGTAATAATAACAGGAAATAGTTTGAATACCAAAATAGTGTAAAAACAAAAAAAAAACAAAAACTTTTTTGTGTTTTAAATAGATCTATATTGATTTTTTTATTTGGAAGTTTGCCCTATATTATCCAATATTGACCCATATATACATGAGTTCATTATTTATAGCAGAGTGTTATATTGATATTAATACATAGCTGTAATTACATAAAGCTGTGATTACTATTTGATAGCATAGTGCTGTATATTTTAAGATACTTTATAGTCTACTGATACTAAAAAAAAAGTGGATTCAATTCAATAACATGTCTGAAGAAGGAAATAAATCTAGCTTGGATAGCACTTCTCCTCAGCCAGATATGGAGGAAATTTTGAAATTCATTGAGGACAGATATATGCTTATACCCAAGACTAAGCCCCCACATATTAAGGATACTATTCCGTCCACATCTACCATACCAACTGTGCCATTTGATATTTCTGGTACAGGGGCACCATTATTTGCCAATACAGGTACAAAACCTAAGGTTTCGGTTAGTATTCCTCCTCCTATTCTTTTGCCAAATTTGAGTCTTGGTAACCCATTAGCAACTGGATCTATGGCTGGATCTGGATTTGCAAATCAATTTATGGCTTCTACGCCTGGTCCCTCTTTGTCTGTTCCCAATCAGGTAACAATGCCCCATTCAGTCATTCCCAAGATTCCTTGTTTTTCAGGAGATGAACCTTTACCTAAGGGTGAAGTTCCATATGTTGTTTGGAGATATGAAGTACAATGTCTGTTGACAAATCCGGATTTAACAAGGTCTACTGTTCTCCAGATTATTAGGGGATCATTAAGGGGTACAGCTAGGATCATGACAGTACCATTAGGTCAAAATGCAACTGTCAAAGAAATATTAGGTAAACTTGATGTTATGTTTTCAGAGGCTTCAACTAAGGAAGATTTGTTGACTCAATTCTTTAATAGTAGACAAAATCCCAATGAGTCGGTAACTACATATGCATGTAGGTTAGAAACCCTTTTACAGTCTATTATTGACAAAGGTCAACTCCCAGGCTTAGCAAGGAATGACATTTTGCGTCATAAATTTTGGACAGGTTTATATTCTGATATGCTGAAATTTCAGACTAGGCATAAGTATGACTCTCTTGATGACTACAATTTGTTAGTTCGAGAGATAAGGAAAGTAGAAAAAGAGACTTCTATTAATCCTACTCAAACGTCTTCTGTCCCATCAACTAAGCATACAATAAAACATACACCATTGTCTGTTGAATCTTCTTTTGAGCAACAACTGTCTGCTTTAGAAAATAAGTTGGATTCTAAAATAACCAATATGGAATCTAAACTTTCATCTTTTAAAGATACTATTGAAGCAAATATAGATTCCAAATTTAACTTGATACTTCAGAAATTAGAAAATCGAAGTTCTAATTTCAGGTCAAGTTCACACAATAATTTTGGAACCAACATAAATAACAAAAGCAGGTACAACAACAACAACAACAGCAGCAGCAGCAACAACAATAACAGTAACAACAACAAAAACAGTAATTCTCACACAAACACAAGCAACACCAACAATAACAACACAAATTTTAGTTCTAGATCTTATTCTAGAGGTAGAGGCAGAGGTCATGGTAGATATAACCCTCGGGATTCGAACCAATCAAACTGATAACCGCCTCTGTTGCGGGCAGAATAGAGGTTGGTAATCTTAGTGTCACTGAGCCCAAATCATTTGTAAATAAATCAAGTAGGACTCAACATAGTTCAATTGTAGAGAATCTTATTGGACCTGCAAATGAACACAGTGTTATTGTAAATGGAAATACCTTCAAATGTCTGCTTGATTCAGGTTCTATGGTTTCTACCATTAGTCAGTCTGCATTTGAGACTTTAAATCCTAAGGCTACCTTAAAAGCTTTAGATTCACTTGGACTTACTCTCTCTATTGCAGATGGTTCTTCATTGAAATATTCAGGTTATATTGAAGCAACTGTATGTGTTCCATTTTTATCTTCTTTTAACCTTGACATTCCTATTCTGGTAATACCAGACAATGATTTTAATATTTCTTGTCCAATAATTATTGGAACAAATGTACTTCGCCGTTGTAAAATGTTTGTGAAGGAAGTACCTGAGGAATTATCTATTCCTGAACAGTGGCAAATGGCTATGGATAGTATTGACTCTCATACTTACCCTGTAAAGGTGTGTGGAAAGAAAAGTGTAAAAATACCTCCATTTGAGAGTATCACACTTAATGGCATTGCTAGGAATCTTGATCAGTCTATATGTTCTGTAGTTACTGAAAGTCCTGAAATCTTTAAAGGGTATACAGTTTGTCCACGTGTCATCAAAACACATAATGCTGTTTCTGCAAAAATATCAGTCAAGGTTTGTAACATGACTGCTAAAGTATTGACTATCAAACCCAAGTCAGAAATCTGTACTATTACAGAAGCTAAAGTGATAGATGATATTTCTTCTTATATTTCTCCTGATGTTCCTTCAGAACCTCCAATCGAGGACATTTCAGTTGATTCTTCCAATCTAACACCAGAACAAACTTTAAGATTTTATCAGGTTCTTGGTACAGTGTAACTTCCGAATTCCGGAACTTCTAAAATCCGGAAACTTCTAAAAACCGAACAATTTTTTCGGTCCCGATTTTTCTCCTTCTATTTTCTATTAATATAAAGCTTCTGAATTCCGGAACTTCTAAATTCTGAATTCCGGACGATATTTTCGTAAAATTAGAGTCAAATCAATGCAATTTTACCTCCAAAAACCGGAAATTTCCAAAGGTGTGAAATACATTGTAAATCGAGAATGTTTACCCTGCAGGAAGATTTAATCTCCCTATCGATTGTTTACTTATTAGCGGTGATCGTGTAATTTGACACGCGTTAAATTCACAAACTGTGAAATGGTATGTTTGAAGTGATTGGTTAATCAAAGTAATTTACGGCGGTCAGTTAATTTGAAGTGTTTATTAGCAGATTAAATGACAATTAGTTGGGACAATGTATGCAACAAACGTCTTTAGGGATTTTATTGCATTTGATGTAATAATTAATTAACTAGCATCGGACGATATGTAAGTTTATGCAATTAACAACATTTCTACAAACTGATAGAAATTCAAAAGCATTTGCAGGTAAGATAAAAATGTATTCTTTTCATGCACATCTTTATCTTGATTAAAAGACTATTATATATGATATTACAGTAATGGCCACATCTTCCTTGACATTTAGTTATATTAAGTGGCTTAGTCTTGTCCACATTATCATAAACCTCTGAATTCCGGAAACCTCTGAAATCCGAACTTTTTGACAAGTCCCATGGGTGTTCGGTTTTCGGAAGTTACACTGTAAATGGAAGGGCATTTTTTGTACATCTACTAAAGAAATCCAAACCACTGATTTGATTGAACATCATATAGAATTGGAAGATGAAACTCCTTTCAAGGAACCGTATCGCAGAATACCTCCAGCTTTATATGAGGAAGTTAGGCAGCACATCAGAGAAATGTTAGATGCCAATATTATAAGGGAATCTAATTCGCCTTTTTCCTCAAATGTTGTTCTTGTGAGAAAACCTACAGGTGCCCTTAGATTTTGTGTTGATTGGCGTAAGTTAAACAACAGAACACGCAAAGATGCATACATGTTACCACGCTTTGACGACACTATTGATGTCTTATCTGGTTCAAAGTATTTTTCTAAAATAGACCTTCATTCTGCATACTGGCAAATTGGTTTAGCAGAATGTGATAAGCCTAAAACTGCTTTCTCTATAGGAAACTTAGGTTTCTATGAGTGGAATAATATGGGATTTGGTTTAACAAATGCCCCCGCTACCTTTCAGCGTTGCATGGAAAAATGTATGGGTGATATGCATCTCAAAGAATGTTTAATTTTTTTAGATGACATTTTAATATTTTCTTCCACTTTTGAGGAACATATTTCCAGGTTAGAGTCTGTCTTTCAACGACTCAGTGATCATAATTTGCGTGTCAAGCCTTCCAAGTGTGAATTTTTCAAGTCTTCAGTTACATATTTAGGGCATGTTGTTTCTGCCAATGGTATTGCCACAGACCCAAATAAGCTTTCAGCTGTACAAGATTGGCCTGTCCCTATAAATATAAAAACTCTTAGACAATTCCTTGGATTTACAGGGTACTATCGTAAATATGTCCCAAACTATGCCCAAATAGTACAACCCTTGAACGAACTTTTAAAAGGTCATGGTGACAAGAAGCGATCAAAAGGGTCTAAGAAAAAGGCTAAAACACCAGTTAAGTGGGTCTGGGGTGGAGCACAACAAAAGGCCTTTGCGTTTATCAATGAAAAATTAGTATCCCCACCAATATTAGGTTATGCTGATTACTCCATGGCATTTATCCTGCACACGGATGCAAGCACCCATGGTCTTG